ATTCCAGCTTCTATCCTCAAGACTCTCAATTCTATTATGTCTAATTTCTTATGGGAGGGGCAATGGTATTAAGAAGATACACTGGGTTAAATGGGATGATGTCTGCAAATCAAAGACTGAGGGAGGCTTGGGAGTTCGGAATCTGATTTTTATGAACAGAGCATTGCTAGGGAAATGGTCTTGGAGGTTTGCAAATGAAAGAAATTTTGTTTGGAGGAATTTTATTTGTAGCAAATACAACATTGACTCTTCTAGACTATTGTTTGACAGCAAGATTCCTTTTCAATCCTCCTGGTTGTGGAGATCAGTGGTTAATAACCATTTCAAACAAGACTCATTTGGTTGTAAGTTCCGTAGTTTGTGCAAGTTTTATGTCGGAAATGGTAAGCATGTTCGATTTTGGCAAGATAGTTGGGCTGCTGATTTTCCATTTCAGATTCTATTTCCTAGACTGTTTTCACTGTCAACTAATAAATTCGGTAAACTTTGTGAGTTCGGAGAATTTCTTTCTTCGGGTTGGATTTGGGATGTTAAAGTTCGAAGAAATTTAAACGATTGGGAGCTTGAACAATGGTGCAATTTGGTGAGCATCATTTCTTCTTTCTCTCTATCTATTGATTCTAGCGATGGATTGATCTGGAAAGGCAGTGGGGATGGGGTTTATACAGTCGGTTCTTGTGTTAAGAGTTGTGCTTCAATTTCAAAAGAGTCTCATTTCTGGAACAAGATTGTTTGGAGAGGATTGGTTCCCCCTAGAGTTGAAACATTAGTTTGGCAAATTGTGCTTCAAAAAATTGCAGTTAAATCCGAATTGGTTAAAAGAGGAGTTCAAGGTATTGAGGATGGCTTATGCCCTCTTTGTAAAATGGTTGAAGAATCTTCTTCGCATCTATTCTTCTCCTGTTCGGTTGCGTGGTCTTTGTGGAATAAATTTCTAAATTTTTGGAGATTTAGTTCTGTGCTTTCTGTAGAAGCAAAAAATTTTCTTCTTGCTTGGGATGAGTTGAAATCTAATTCGGTAATTTGGACTTTCATTCCTGGGGCTGTTATTTGGACAATCTGGAAATTCAGGAATTACATAGTTTTTGAAGGGGGGAAGCTCGATCAGACTGAATTATTCTTCTTAACAAGAGTTAGGCTGGCCTCTTGGTATTTAGCAAAGAATAAGGATGTTTCTATTCCTAAGGACTCCTTAATCTCTGATCCTTCTGTAGGGGATTCTTACTCGTCCTACAATTTCTTGAAGTCTTCCATAACCCCTTGGTTACCTCCCCCTACGGGTTTCATCAAGTTGAATGTGGATGCAGCAATTAGTTGTGATTGGGAAAAATCAGGTCTGGGTGGTCTTATGAGGGATCATTCTGGTGCAATCCTTGGTTCTTTTCGGGAACCGGATGGTTCTGGACCTCCAACATTGAAGGAACTTAAAGCTATCCAAAGGGGTATCTCTTTCTTTACCTCTGTCCTAGGGAGGGTTAAAGATAGGTTGATCATAGAGAGTGATAGCAGAGTTGCAGTAGACTGGATCAATAAGGTTGTCCCATGTCCAGCTGTTTATGGTTTCATTGTTAGAGATATTGTTGAGTGTCTTAAAACCGTCGGGGGGGGGGGGTTGTTAGATGGATTGCAAGGACAGCTAATATGGATGCCGATGCTCTAGCAAAGGCTGGTATAGGTTGATTATTATGTTGTTGACTTCTATAGTTCGGTTTTAAGGCTCAAGAATTATTGTAAGGGTACTACTTGGATTTTTCTTTCCAAGGTTGTAATTCTTATTTTCTTCAATGAAATTATAAGGCACTCTTTTCCTCCTTCCCATGATTAAGAAGCTTCTTTACAAGCTCCATTAATCAAGAAGGAGGTTTTTAAAGAGACCTTCAAATCTTATCAAAAAAAAAATATCAGCCACGTAACGCTGTAACAAGACATTCATATTTCAGAAAGTTCGATAATGGCACTTTTTCAAAACAACATGATTAATAAGCCGTACAACATGATAAGTATTAAATAAGCAATCACATTGTCAATTATTTAGCCAACAACCAAATCAGTTGACAGAACCCAGAAGACCATGCCAAGATAAAATATATAAATGTAGTAAAAAGGTGCTCGACCTTTAAGACAGATGACCAAGAATTGATGGACCTATGAATTGATTTATCTATTACAATATCCTTGTTGATATTCACTCCACCCATCTGTTGCCAATGTCGCAAGGATGTGTTTGATGCACGAGCAATGAATTGGCAGCTCCAATGAACTTGAAAACATGCATAAAATTAATTCATGAGATGATAAAAAAAACTGCATCTATGATTGGATAAAATAAATATTAAACTATAAAACAAGCAATTCCAGTTTACCTACCATTCACACTTGGAAATATAACAGGGTAACATGGACCCTGAAGTTGAAGGGAAGTATTTCGCATTTCTGGTGTAAGAAACTCATAATAATCATAATTTCTATTGATCCAGTCACGCATTGAGAGGCGGATATCCCCCTCTGGATAATCACAGACCCAATTAAGTGAATCTTCGGATGGAATAGGGCAATCCCATAAGCATATACTCCGAGCATTAGACAACTTGAATTGACTGTCCTTAACACCACTTTGATAAACCTGATTCAGATTCAACCAATACTTGAGTTCCAACTTACGAAGGCCGGGATGAGCATGTTTGTCACCACATACATTCCCTTTGTAGTCCAGACCAAATGTAAGCCTGACATGCCGCCATCCAACAGAGAACAAATTATCAAAATCACAAAAGAGAAAATAGAAAAAGGAAAATTAATTCAAAACCTCGACAGAAAGAAAGCAGAATATGTAAAAAAACCCAAACATAAATGAATAGGCAAACTACACCATTTAGAAGCTATTGCCCCCAACAAATGACAAGAACTAATTTTTCCATAAATCATCAGCAATCTTCACAGGTTCCAAGGTGAAAAAGTGTTTCAAAAATGTAAATTAATATATCTATAATTGACTCTAACATCAATGCCAGATGAAATTTCTCCTAAAACTGAACCATACAAGTATGAAAAAGTGTCAGTCTCACAGAATGACCATCTCTAGCTTAACTAAGTGCTTACAACTCACTTTTAGCCCTGCTTTACAATTAGATCAACCAACTAGTTCCTATTAACTAATAGGAGCAATTCTATAGAAATTTTCTTAAGTATCTACTGTTTCTGTTTAGGAAACCTCAAGAGGATAAACAAAACATACCATAAAAAAGGATATTCAAAATTAGAATCCAAAATAAAACATACCCATTTTTAGATTCAACATGAAGATTTATAAAAGAAATTAAATAAAGAAAATTTACCTTAATGGGTTTCCTTGGTTAAACCCAAAGCTAGAGTTAACAATCATAGCAACCCAAAATGCTATAAAAATGAAAAGAAAAACAACATCTCTGCACTTCCTATTGTGCTTAATGATCCCTCCAAGCTCTGTAGTTCCATCACTTGATGGGTATCTTCCAATTACTGCCCCCGAATGACCCCTCATTTCTTTTTTTCCCCTTAGAAATAAGCAAGGATTTTTATTTTTATTTTTATATTTTTAAACTATTAAGCAAGGATTTTAGAATGTGAAAAAAGGAAGAGAATTTGCAGACAGAGAGAAAAAAGGGGGCTTTTGGAGAGTGAAGTGAAGAAGCTTAGGAAGTGTAAAGTAGAGAAAGAAAGGGTTTTTAGATTTGGAATATTTTTTATGTATTTTATTTTTCATTTTTAGACAAAGATTTGTTACTTTAAAATAAAAAACATTAAGAATCCATGTCTGGTCGTGGCTTAGATCTGAACAGTTCTGTTGGCTTGGTTTGAGAACATTTATTTAAATAAAAAAATCAGAGCTTTTGAAATTAACTTGGTTTAAGTAAAATCAGTCCTGAAACACCTTTTTTAAAGTTCAAAACACAATTTTAAAGTTTAATTAAGCCATGCTATGAGCCATTTAGCCAAATAGACAAAAACAACAGTCTTCCAATAAAAACAAGCCATTATGGAACTATCTATATTAATTATCTTTTTCCCTTGTTTGTCATATTCCCTCCACTTGGAAGCCGTTGATATTCTGAAAAAGTGTTTTTGGTTCGAATATCATGGTCCATCCATACTAGGGTTTCAAATTGATAGTTGCCACAAAAGTCAGATTTTTTATGAATGAAGTGGTTGCTGATTAATTCTAATGTTGGGAATATTTCACTTGACCAGAAGATTAATATTGTTCGATTTTAAGTTAACTTGATGGTTGATATTGGTGGATAAAAATATATAATCTTTTAGTTTTGTTTGATATTTGAGGAGATTAAAAGATGTTTCGATGAGTTTAAAGCAAAGGAAAGAAAGAAGATGTGAAGGAGAAGAGTAGTAATGATTCAACGATCTTTTTAATAGAAAAAACACCATACAACAACATAAAGTGAAAATAAGAGCAATGACTGACAACCTTCTTCTGAGTTTTTTAACGAGTCACGTCAATTATTATTAATAGTTTAATGATCTAGTTATTGAAATGATATATTTTTAATTTTAGTGATTAAAGTGAAAGCATCCTAAAACCTCAATAACTAATCTTGTTAATTATTGAATTAATTAATGATATTAAAAAATAGATGAATTAAATTATTTCAAATATAAAGGGACTAAATCTAAAAGTTGATCATAGTAGAGCAACCAAAGTCGAAATTTAGCCCATTATTTTCAGTCCTGGGATACAATGGTTTGTTGAATTACGGTAATTACCCTCTCGGTCAAACTCAGAAGAGAGAATGTCATTCCTATCATCGTTCCATTTCTCATGCCTGACGCGTGTCGCTATACAATCCCACCTTCATTAAACTACGTGAATCCACCTCCCAGTTTCATTGGCTCGTGATTTACACGGACATAAAAACATAGTCAAAATCCCACACCACAATCTTACCATATACACACATTTTGATCCCATACGGGCAACCAAAGATCAAACACTCTTTTCTCTGCAGTTTTCAAGCTGTTTTAAGCCTTCGTTTTCATGGAAGATTCTCAGGGTTCGAAGGAGAAACAAGAGCTGAAACTCTGTTTTCAGAGCAAAAGATATGGAAACAAAGAGAAGCCTCCTATGGAAGATCGAGTGAAGTTGGCTGCCATTGCAATTAGCCTTAACGTGCGTCTGAGATCATCTGATATGCCGGTTAACATGCAAGAACATGCCCTCCGTTGCACTCGACGGCTTCTCGATTCGGCTCCGGAGCCTCGACCTAGCCTTACTCAACTGGCCCGAGCCATCAAAAAGGTATAACCATACCCGTATCAGATACAAATTAACATGTTGATTATACGTATGTGTTCATATTTTGTATTAAATATCATTGTTTGTTTTAGAATGATAAAGAGTTTCATGTACCTTAATCAAGATTATACATTTGAGGTTTGTAAATAGAGAAAATAACATTTGGAGAGTTTATTTCGTTTAGAGAGGTTAGATTTAGTTAAGACCCTCTAAGATTATCGAATACTATAAAATCTTATATAAAAAAGAAAATATTTTGAGTTAGTTGACAATTCATTGTAGATTCGATCATGTTCAATGTTAAATTTAATTCATGTCTAATATAATTATCATGGATGGTCTGAGTAGGGACGTGGTGGTCTTAAACAATTTCTTCCTTATAAACCGATTGAGAGTCAAAGTTAATGGTCTCGAAAAATGATAGAAAATGATGAACAATATATGGGGATTTCATGCCTTCCTCTCGTCTTGTTTGTGTTGGTATATATGTCTTTGACACCATAATCAAATGAAAGAAATAACATGATTATCATCGGATAAACCCTAAAATATCTCCAAAAAACTCTAAAATCTTTGAAATATGTGGTACAAAGAAGTGTCAATGGAAGTATACGGAGGAAGCACGTCAGTTATGGAATGGTAAAAAGCCTACCACCAAAAAACGAGAATATTGAATTAAATGAATCAGTTAATAATTTTCTAGTGAAGAAAGACTGGAAGTTCTTTAGTTATTTACGTTGATCTAATGTTAACAGCATTTGTTTTGATCTTTCGATCTTTAATTCGTAGTACCGGGTGACCAATTGATGGGTTTGTTTGTTTCCAGGAGTTTGACTCGGTGTACGGACCAGCATGGCAGTGTGTGATCGGGACGAGTTTCGGATCGTACGGGACCCACTCAGTGGGTGGATTTCTGTACTTCTCGATTGACTCGCTCTCCATTCTTCTCTTCAAAACAGAGGTTCAGTTGGTCAACAAAAAAGGCTTTGAATGATGACTGTTCAGTTTTAAACTTTTTTTATTTAATTAATTGATCTGGATCAAGTATTATAAAGATAAATTATTTTATTTATAAATATTATGATATAAATCTTTAATCTTTACCTTAATTATCTAATACCTCATCTCACTAAAATAATTGATTATTAATGTTCATTTAAAACCTTCGACTCTTTACACTATGCTATCGGTTTCGAGGGATATAAATTTAAAATTTATCCATGAAATTATTTATAAGATTTTTTTATTACATTCTCTTTTTATTAAAAAAATTATAAAATAACCATTTAATTTAAAAATAATAAATTAATTCTTTTAGTTAAAATTTTGACAAATAATAATGAATACAATTATATATTCTATAAATTTAATCATCAACTTTTACGTTTTATTTCAGTTTGATTTTAATCTTTTAAAAAATTAACTCTTATATTCTATCAATTAATCATGCTACTAATTCATTTTTATTTCCTTTCATAATCATCCACCATCGATTCATTTCATTATCTCCCTAAAAAAATTCAATTTTTAATTCATTTCATTACCAACCCACCTTCGATATGCTCGTTACTTATTTTGTATGGCCTATCATCACGATGAATTTTTTCATATTATATACTGACTTATAATTAGACATTAAAATAGATTTTATAATAAATTTAGTGATTAGAGATTGCTTTATGATTTAAGTAAGAATTTTTATAAAACAAAAATTCTTGGTGACCATGATGATTTTCTTTATATATATAGGATAAATCTTAATCTGTAAAATTATGAGAGTCGAAAGATATTAATTTTGCAGAGATGTAATTTTTTTTCGTAATCTTTATAACGATTGGAATCTATGTTGCAGGAACGAATTTTATAAAGATATTATTTTTTTTCTTTTTTAAAAATACACCAAGTTACATATAGGAAAAAAAATACTTAATGTTAATATAATAGTCTTAAGTTGTAGTTACACCATCCACATCAATACTTAAATGGTATAATGTTAAAATTGTCTAATTTGCTCTTATGGGATGTGGAAAAAAAATGATTAGCTCGTATAGGGTTTTGTCGAAATTATTTATTGAGATAGTGTGATCGCTACAATATTAAGGAAGACGCTAAGAATACAACACGTCTTTCCAATTTTTCACGCTGTTGAAACCCCAAAACTACTAAGACTCTCAAAGGAACAAAGTTGGAGTCACACTGTGGTCGCCGCGTCTTCCGGAAGACGCATTGTGTTCTCGGCGTCTTCCGACGAGTACTGTAGCAATCACACTAGACTATAAAATAATTCTGACGAGATGCTAAACGAGTCAATCATTTTTTTCACAACCCCACACGAGTAATTTAGTCTGTTAAAATTAATTCTAAATGTTTATCAAAATTATTATTTTAGTTTTTGTTCTTCAATTGGAGTATTTTGTCGTTCAACTTTTCATTTTAGGATAAAATGACACAACGTTTAATCAAATAGTCATTTTGGTACTTAATTTTTTAAAGTATTTTGGCCCACAACGTTTTGTTTTAAGGTAAAAAAAAGTCTCTTATTTTGAAACATTAACCTTTTGTTAATTAACAATTTCCATCCATATAAGGATATTTTTACCCTAAAATAAAACGTTAAAGGTCAAAATATTAAAAAAAAAGGGAATAAGATCAAAGTTACTATTTAATCAAACGTTAATTTTTTTTCTTAATATTATGCCTACTCGAGTTTAATAGATGCTTTATCAGTCACTAATAAGTATTATGATAATTAGTATTATAATATAAACATTAAACTTAAATAAAAATTTAAAAATAGTATGGATGAACCTAAATGGATTTTGTTCAATCATTTATAAATATGGACACATATATACAAAATTTATGGTTAATATTTTGTCTCGTGCTGGACTTGTACAAATTAAATGACATGAAATCATACACCAACCCCACCCAAACTAGCTATAAATGTTATTTATTATGATAATGTTTTTATATAAAGATTCGTCAATATAATAATAAATTAAAAGATAAATATATTTTTGTACAAATCAAACGATTTCGATAATAAATAAATTATTATTATTTTTTAAGATTTCAGATTCAAACACTATGATTGTTAAAAATATAATTTTTAATATCAAATAATTAAAATTATTTTTAAATAATAATTATCTTATACTTATTTCATATTAAAAAATATATATATTCTTTTTCATTTTTATGTTCATTATTTTCCATGTATCGGGACCATCTCTGTCATCAAGATACTGACAACTTAACTAATTTTAAAACAATTTTAAATAATTAAATATTTAATACTTCTGTAGTTGCATTATTGCTTGAAAGATTAATTAAAAAAATAAACTATGTATTTAATATCATTTAACTATTTTTTTCTTTTAAATTATAAGTAATTTTATGTTTTGGTTACACGTGATTAAAAATAAATAAACTTACTGATATGATAGTTTTTTAAAAGATTTTTTTATGATGATGTGGTATTATTTTATGGTGATATGTCAACATTATTATTAATTTTGTAATAGAGTGTGACCAAAATGTAACTTTAGGTATAATTTTAAAAGAAATAATTGTGTGATCAAAACAGAACTAAAGTGATAATTGAGTGATTAAATGTATTGTTTAATCTTAAAAAATATCATGTACATAGGCATGATTTTATGTTAGATACACAATCTTAGGAAATTATTTAAGAAATTAAAGGGTTCAAAATTGATATAGAAGAAAATACCTAGACTATACAAGGATTTAAAATTTCCAAAAGTAAGATCACACTCCAACACCCTTAATCAATCTATGATTCCATGTGATCTCTTAGGCAAATTTGCTTGGATGGCCATTGAAAAAAATGTTTTTTTTTTTCATTTAGAGTGGTTCAGACTTTATTTTTCCAAATATGGTGAATGCAACATTGGACGTCGAAAGTCAGCCAAAGGATATGGCATTTTTCGGAAGACGGCCAGAACACCTAACATCTTAAAGTTTTTCATCATCGAAATACCATAACTGACCTCCCTTTTTGTTGTAGTTATTCCCAACCGGAGTACCATGGTTGGCCTCCTAAAGACACCAGAGATGTGGATGTCAGATGTTACTGGAGATGAAGAGTTGAAGAAGTCGAGTGCTCTGACCGTCTTCTGAAAGACATTATGTGCTCGAGCCAACTTACGAGATTCATTATAACAATCACCCTACTTCAAAAAAAAAAAAATCACTCCCCATTTCAACCATTTTTTTTTTCAAAACTCATTTTGAACATTTTTACCGATCTCTTATGAATAATATATATTTTTAATAGAATGAAATGATTACTTTATTTATTTAAAAAATTAACTAATTAATAATACATACCCTAGAAATAGTTTTTTAAATCCAGGCGTTTTACAACTAAGACCCATCAATGTTATACTTTTTAAATATACGTATAGATAGGTTCCCAAAACTTTGCAATTCCATGGCATTAGTCGGTATTTTTGAAGTCCTCTTGGCTCTGTTTTGCTTTCTGTTTTTATACCGCTCAAGAAACAACGATGGGTGTCCGAAGAATTATCCGATTATCGGGATGATGCCGGGGCTTCTCCTCAACGTTCATCGGATTCATGATTGGTGTACCGAGGTTCTCGACAGATGCCACTGCACTTTCCATTTCAAAGGCCCTTGGTTTGCTAATATGAACATCATTGTGACCTGCGACCCTGCAGACATTCACTACATTATGAGTTCCAACTTCGCCAACTTCCCCAAAGGACCCGAGTTCAAACAGATGTTTGACGTCTTGGGAGACGGTATTTTCAACTCGGACTCGGATTCGTGGAAAAATCAGAGGACGGTTGCTCAAGGATTCATGAGAAATCATCGGTTTCTTAAGTTTTTGTCGACGACTTCCCGGTATAAAGTCGAAGGTGGCCTCATTCCTGTCATGGACCATCTTGTTAAACGAGGCTTGGTGGCAGATTTAGAAGATGTGTTCCAAAGGTTCACGTTCGATGCTACATGTATCTTGGTTACTGGCCACGACCCTAGATGCCTCTCGGTCGAATTCCCCGATGCTCGTTTCTCCAAGGCCTTGGATGATGCTGAGGAAGCGATCTTTTATCGACATGTCAGGCCACCATGGTTTATTAAGTTGCAGAGGTGGCTGAACATTGGACAAGAACGGAAATATTGCAAGGCATGGCAAGTTCTGGATGACACAATAGTCGAGTATATATGCAGGAAGAGAAAAGATTTTATCCTAGGGCCGAATTGGATACCGGAAAATGTCGAAGAAGGCTTCGATCTCTTAACATCATACATAACTGAAGAGAAGTCAACAGGTTTGAAATGTGATGATAAATTCTTGAGAGACACCATTTTGAATTTGATGCTTGCAGGGAGGGACACAACGAGCTCTGCTCTTACTTGGTTCATATGGCTGGTTTCGAGGAATCCGATAGTCGAAAATAAGATCATAGACGAGCTTCGATCGATAATACCAGCAGAGGAATCGAAAAAGAGACGACTATTCGATGCCGAGGAGGTAAAGAATCTGGTTTATCTACATGGAGCATTATGCGAGGCATTAAGGCTATATCCAGCGGTTCCCTTCCAGCACAAGGAACCTCTCAAACCAGACGTGCTTCCCAGCGGGTATCCAGTTCATCCGAACATGAAAATCTTGTTCAACTTGTATTCGATGGGACGGATGAAATCAATCTGGGGCGAAGATTGCTTCGAATTCAAGCCCGAAAGATGGATTAATGAGCGAGGAAGGATTAAACATGAGCCATCATACAAGTTCTTGTCATTCAATGCAGGTCCAAGGACATGTTTAGGGAAGGAAGTTGCGTTTATTCAAATGAAAACCGTGGCGTCTGCCATTGTTTACAACTATCGTATTCATGTATCCGATGAAACTCCGATTATTCCGGCTGTATCGATTATCCTGCACACCAAGGATGGACTGATGGCAAGGATCTCCAATAGATGGGACTAAAATACTGTTTTTATTATTATCTGAAACCTGGGGATTGTTTAGTTTCAAGTACTAGTTTGTATTCTCCATCTTTTCTAATCTGGTTATGTAGAAAGATCCACCTTACTGTAAATGTAGGTGGAAAATTGAAGCAACTTTGAAATCATAATGCGAATCTCCAGACCCAGAAGTACAAGAAAACCATGGTAAAGCTTTACATACGAGGTCCTCACCTTATCACTTTCGCGTATTATAATCGTGATGCGACCTCATAGACATGATCTATCGAAACTAAATTTTATCATTAGCTGATTATATCAACCTAACTTATCAGACTACATGTAATTATAATGATCTCACGCCTGCTCTCAACCTCAAGAATCACTAGAAATCCGTCGACCAAGATTAAGAAAAATGAATGAAACCTATAGGAGATCGTTTTACTCTTATTTGTTTTTTTTTCTACTTGTTTATAGAGATAAAATACTTTAACACATGTTAAATATTGATAGTTTACTAATTTCGATTATTTATTTAAATTAAAAGAGATAAATCACTCATAATCGATATATCTTAAAATCGTTGTTATTGATAATAAAAAAAAGTATGCTGTCAAAAAAATGTACTAGAAAGATGGAAGATATATATCAATTCTGATGTGATTCCCTTGGAAAGTGGAAACTAGTGTCGTGGAGGCGTATCATTCATTTCTACCAACAAAGGATAGACAACAAGGCAAATTAAGCCACTCATTCTACTCTTTCACCTTATCGGAATCTGTGTGGATCGAGTTTATGTTTTGTCTATAACTTATTTAAAATTCGTACATACTTTTAAAAATATACACATAATTTTATATTAAGGATAATAAATTTATAAAATTTTAAATAATAAAATATTTATAAAATTAAAAAAATATATCTAAAATATATAAAAAATTAAAACTTTTAAAGGAGGCAACCGCATTAGTCGCCATCCTCTAAACCCATCCCTATACTTCCATGGAAAAAGATTTCAGTGTTCCATGGTTTGTCTCATCTTCCATTGCTAGGTAGCAAGTCTTTTCGTCATCTTCAGCAATATTTTAATTTATCTATATTATTTTTAACTTTATTTTATCCAATTATACGACATAATTGTTCATCTAACAAAGGTACAGGTAATTCTGTAGTACAACTTGATCATTTAAAGTTAAAAACAGTAAAAATAAACTCCATCGAAAATATTATTAAATGTATAATAATTTAAGTTAGATGTAATAAAATATTATTTTTTTTAATATTTTATAAAGAATGTAATATTTCGATTCAACTTAAAATATTATAAAGAATATATTTTAAATTAGATATAACCCAAAATATTATATATTTTTTATAACATTTAAGGTTGGTTTTTTTCTTCTAAAATTTCCCTTGTTAGATTAGGTGACAGCAAGAATAAATGGGATTATCTCATAAAAGACAGACTAATATACGGTTAATACACGGTGTTACCGAATATATTAAAAGATATTTGATAAATTTGATTTAGCGCTACCAGAAATATCGAGTAATAATAATGTAATAGGTGGAAATCATGAAGAAATATTAAAAAATTTGACAACTGGTAAACTTAGCTTGTCGGTTTGTGTCGATACTTTATAAAAATATATTAATCCATAACAATATAACAGGTAAAAAAATGACAAAACCGGTCTATAAATGACAAAACAGGTAAAGCGCTACTAGATATATTGAAAGTGTCGATACTTTAAAAAAATGTATCGATTCATAACAATATAACAGGTAAAAAATGACAAAACCGGTCTATAAATGACAAAACAGGTAAAGCGCTACCGTATATATTGAAAGTGTCGATATTTTATAAAAATATATCGATCTATAACAATATAACAGGTAAAAAATGACAAAACCGGTTTATAAATGACAAAATAGGTAAAGCGCTACCGGATATGTTGATAGTGTCGATACTTTATTATAAGTATCGACACTTTTAAAATTTAAAAGAGAAGAAGTTACAGCGCTAATAAAGTGTCGATACTTTATAAAAATGTATCGATTAATAACAATATAACAGGTAAAAATATGACAAAACCGGTATCGAAATGACAAAATCGGTAAAGAGCTACCAGATATGTTGAAAGTGTCGATACTTTATTATAAGTATCGACACTTTTGGAATTTAAAAGAGAAGAAGTTATAGCGTCAATAAAGTGTCGATACTTTATAAAAATGTATCGATCCATAACAATATAACATGTAAAAAATATGACAAAACCGATCTCGAGATGACAAAACCGGTAAAGAGCTACCAGATATGTTGAAAGTGTCGATACTTTATTATAAGTATCGACACTTTTGAAATTTAAAAGAAAATAATTTATAGCGCCAATAAAGTGTCGATACTTTATAAAAATGTATCGATTCATAACAATATAACAGGTAAAAATATGACAAAATCGATCTCGAAATGACAAAACCGGTAGTAAAAAAGTGTGCTTGTGTGGTATTTTTATTTCAGAATTTTCATTTTTAATATAAAAAGTTATATATTTTAAGCAAAACCCAGTAAGAAAAAAACAAAAACTTTGCAGTAACAAAAGAATAACATTGGGAAACCCACCATGTTATCAGTTTCTCAAAGAACAAAAAACCCAGAAACATACATCTCATAACGCAAACTTATGATATACTCTTATTATCTCTATAAGATAAAGTTAGGTCAGTTTTAGTTTTATTTTTTTGGTTACGATTTTGTGTCATTGAAATTGTTGATTGAAGAACTCAAACTGATGCACGCATAAGTGTAGATGCATTTATGAAAAGTATTGATCCAAAAAATATCGAAATCGATAATTATTATGAAACAAGTAAATTTACAATGTAACCGGTAAAAATATACTGGTTAATTAGCAAATAGGTTTACATTATGTATCTACACTCTTTAAATATGTGTCGATACTTTTTTCCCAAAATGAAAGCACAACGAAGTGCACGCATAAAGTGTCGATACATTTAAAATTGTATCGATCCCAAAAATATCAAAACCGATAATTATAATGTAATAGGTAAATTTGTAATGTTACGGTTTAAATATACCTATTTAGTTAGAAAATAGGTCAATATAAGCGCTACCTATTACATTATATAAGCGCTACATAATATATTATTGTACTTGATAATATTTCCGGTTAAATGATATAACATAACCGGCCTAAATTTTAACCGATCACTTATTTAACAGACCACACCATTTTTAATCATTTTTTAAGTGTCTCACAGCATAAGTTCCCAGAATAAATAGCTGAGTTGCTAAAAATCCTTTGTGGATAAGGTATTGAAGATGAGAGAGATTGATATATCATTTTTAACCACTCCCATAATTTGTTATGTATTTGTAAATTTATATGATAGAATGATAAATTTTATTTTTAATATTTACATGTTCATGATGTAAATTTTAAACCAATATATAAGCAAAAATTCACTCTTTTCTCTTATATAATTTTTCTAACTTTTCTTATAGAATATCGTTTTACACTGCCGTCTAGTACCGTCCCCTCTTTTTTGTATTCTTTTTTTTTTAATTTAATTTTAATTTAGATTTAAATAAGCATTATGTTTTTATTTTAATTTAGATTTAATTTTAATTTTATCTTGCTATTATGGCACGATTTTCTCTATTGTTATGACTGTTTGATATTTTGTGTTGTATTCATTACGATACACTTTCTGATGAGGAAAGGTTAACGATCTTTCATAATTAGATCCCTTTTTATAACAATTTATCGATATATTCAGAACCGTTCATGGAATAATTTATCAAATTGATTCTTTCAATAGCCACACCTCCAACAAGGTTGCGTCTAATTTTGAATAAACAAAATAAGATTATTATTAATTACTAAATTTTTTATAAGATAAAACATGTATTCAAAGAAATGTTTTGAATTTTATTTTTTTACGTCATTTGAGTTTTTATGTTAGATTTGGGGTTTTATGTTAGAGTATGTTGTCTTTGTTATACCTTGCACTCTTATTAATGAAAACTTATTGTTTTCATTCTTTTTATATTTACACGTTCAAATACTTACGTAAGACTAAGATGAAAAAAAATATAATTTAAAATGCAACATATATTCATCTAAAAACCTATCAATTTATCAGTTTAACTCAACTTTTTTTTCCTTTTCGCCACTAGAAAATCTTGCCAATTATTACTTATCGAATAACATATATTATTTTTTCTAAAATATATGAATTCGAACCATTACGTTTAAAGACTGCTTTGTGCTGCGTTTTTATCAACTATGATGCATCAAGGGATAAGGTTAAGGGGTGTAAAGTCATGACCCATGAATACGATTGTAATGGACCCAGTTTCCAAGGTATAATTGCTCGACAAGTCAACTGCTGTGGCTGCAGTCTATGTAAACCCTACAGCTCATAGACAAGGACCACATTTCTCTTCCTTATTGGTAATGTGGACAATAATCACACACACCCCGTTTAAGCTGCACCTAACTATTTCAATAATACATTATTGATATTAACGTCTGTTGATCGAACTCATTTATTTCAATAATTACATTAATCATATGATGATGGATGGTATGTAAAAGATAACGCTTGTGAAAATATTTAATCAAGAATCTCACAAGAGGCTTTTAGGGGTTTATTAACTAAAAGAGCAGTGAAGACCTCTTCGAAGATAAAATTCTGAGTTAAATGAACATTCATTTCTGGGGTGATAACCTCTTTAATACCATTAAGAATATGATGAATATCAGTTATAGATATCTCTCTTAAATTATAGGTTCAGTGTCTTTTAGGAGTAGAATAAAAATATCATCTATAAACTCATCTCCTAAGTTGTAAGTTCAATATCTTTTATGAACAAAATTCACTCTTTTTTCTTGTAAATATGAATTATTCCAAAGAAAAAAAATCTACAGACCTGATACTCTTTGATGTAAATAAGTTAATAAAATATTTGTTGACAATATCATATTTAAACTCCTCATCCTCAATAAGAGAACCTATATTGTTTTCCCAACTTTAATTCGATTAATTATGCATCTATCCGATGTAAAATTATGGAAAATAGTCGTATTATGGTCACCTTCCATAAGGTAATTGACATAATAATAAAAATATCTCTTAACATTTGCATAAATGATAACTTTGCCTCGGATTTTTTTTTGAATATTTTATTCCCAAAGTTTCAACTTTTTTGTTAAAACATATATTGTTAGATGAAAATCGTTAATTGACTAGCATCCAACACATGTAACTAATGTACCATTTTTACATTTGTTCAGTAGATGACGTGATTTTTGCCACGTCAAACAGTTGAACACGTAAACTTATCACGTCATCAATATAGATTGACATTTAATCAAATAACGGTTTTATTCTACAGAGCATGCTTTGATCAAAAATTAAAACGTTAAAAGGTAAAATGTTCTCCAAAAAAAAATACAAAATAACTATTTATGCAAATGTGAGAAGATAAATTTATTATTATGCCAATCCAATTTGCCCAACTCTTTTCTCCCAATAAAACTCATCTTTTACCGATTTCAAGGCTAATGGAAAATTTAACTTAATTTCTCCAACCACAATATCAATGTGGTTTAGTTCATTTAGCGTTTCTCTCAAATTTTCTAAGCAAGCTCCACCACTTCTACTAACAAAACTTTTTATATTTTAATTTGAGAGTTTCATTATGTATGACTTGCCTGTTAAATAAGACTTGCCGATATAGCAGATAAAAAGGAGAAAATAATTCAATTAGAAGAGGATGATTTTGGCTTTAATCTCCAGTTTGATTCTAATTAAGATTCTTTTAGTCACAATTCAATTTCAGTGCTTGTTTATTATTTTTAATTATTTTTTATGTTATTCATCTTCATAAAAAGTGCTATTAATCGTGTTTTTAAAACTTTCATTTAAACATTAACGGGTTGGTTCAAGTGATAAGCAGTTTGATATCGCTTAAGCAGATATTGAGTTCGAGTCATTGTGTATGAAGAAAACCCTTACTGACCTGGGAGACTCGTCCACGACAGCCTGGTGTGCCAACCTAGATTGGTTCGGATTAGTTTAAAATCGAAAGGAAAAAAAAAACATTTAAACAACAATTATCCATGTTTACAGAGAGGGGAACCGAGCAGCAGATGCCATGGCTAAATTGAGTCGAACGGGAGGTGGACAAGTAGAGGGATGCCTTCTAAGTAGAGATTAGAGTAGAAAATATTTTATATATATATATAACTTCTGAAGAAATTTCAATTAGGACAAAAGGGATATGAATATAGGCTTTGATATGCAAGTTAGCTTTCAAGGAATTGAGGAAAGTGAACTTTGGTAATGCAAAGTAGGTAATCTCACATTGGTAGAGAAAATTCTATTAAGAGTGTTTATATGTATAGCTTTTAGAAAGACAATATATCAAATAAATTTTACATTTTCTTTATTAGGATATGCAAATGTGAATGTATTTTGTTGATTTAGAAAGACAATATATATTTTATGATTATATCGATTAGGGTGAAATCTCTTTTAATGCGATTGTTTTTATCGTGACACTATAAATTTATTTATTTATTTATTATAGTTAGGTTTTGCATGTCATTATTAATGTTTCATTTTACAACATTCTTATTTCTAACTCGACTTTCATCAATACCTTTATTTAACTTTGTCGAGTAAAAAATCTAATTAAAGGTTTTTTTTTGGTAAGGAAACTCCATTTAACTTTTCAAGAAAAAAAAAACTAATTAAGGTTTTTTTAAAAGTGCAATCTAACTATGGCTTTATTATATTTTCCTTTTTTTCATAAATATGAATGAATTTGACACTTCTAAACTTGATACGATCCCCATTAAGGTAAAATCTTGTCCCTTTTTGTAATAGGAATAAATTCTCAATAAATAAGCTTCTTTCATGAAGGAAAAACATGAGCTAATTTCTCAGTAGGGATAAAACAAGATGCATTACTAGGTTATAGTATAACGATAGAAGTCTATTAAAAAACAAAAGGAAAACATGAAAATTGAGCTCGCGGATTTATATTTTAATTCTTAAATAAATAAATGTCAACTTCTATTGATGGTCCATGTACTATATATTTTTAGTAAATTTAGTCCCTTCACTATAATTTGATCATTTCTAACCTTGCACTTTTTGAAATGTATATTTCAGTCCTAGGATCAATTTTTCCGCCTTTTTTCCGCCATTTTGTTTTGTATTTGATAGATATTTGCCCTATTGTAAAAATAATATCATAGTATATATATCACATCACTGCATATTTACATAAAAGTTACGCTAAATAAACTCATCGAGTGACCTCAGTGATAAGTCATTTATGAAAAATATATGTGTGTGTATGATAGTGCTTATAATTTTTACCAACGGTTAGTGTTATTAGAGATTCGAACAAGATGCTCAATTTGAGTGTTGATGCCTTCTCCAAGATGAAAAACTTGAGATTGCTCAAAGTCCTTTGGCTCTCAAATTGTGAAGATCTCCGTTATCTTTCAAATAAGCTACGGCTTTTAGATTGGCTCTCAAAGTCCTTGCTTTCAGGCTTCCAACCAGACAACCTAGTTGCACTTCGCTTACCATACAGTCGCATTGAACAACTATGGAAGAGAACCACGGTAAGAATTAATTCTTCTGAGCCTCGTCTTTTAGCTTATTTGAAGTTGAAAGATAAACAAAAATAACAACAAAATTGTGTTGTCTTATGTATTTTGCCCCCAAGTTAATGTTGTTATCAACAGCCTCTGTATAAGTTGAAAGTGCTCAACCTCAGCGGGTCCAAAAAATTGATCAGGATACCAGACTTCAAGATGGTCCCAAATCTTGAAAATTTGGTTTTGGAAGGTTGAACAAAAATAATGGATGTCCATCCAACCGTTGGAGTTTATAAGAGGCTTAAACTTTTGCATTTAGGAGGCTGCAAAAGTCTTAGTAATCTTCCAAACAAAATCGGAATGGAATCTATTGAAGTATTAAATCTTTCAGGTTGCTCAAATCTTCAAAAGTTTCCAGGGATTGATGGGAAAATGGAATTCTTGTTGGAAATTTATTTAGATGGGACAAGCATCGAATAACTTCCCTCTTCAATTGGAAAAATGAGAAGTCTTGTTTTGCTAAATTTGAAAGATTGCCGTAACCTTGTGAGCCTCCCAAGCACGATTGGTGGGTTTGCAAGTTAAAATACTCTTAATCTTTCTGGCTGTCATATGGTTGGAAATTTGACGGAGAATTTGCAGCACAGAATTTTTGGAAGAGCTTGTCTTAAGTGGAACAGGCATAATAGAACCACCATCCTGTTAGGTGTGGCTTGTAAAATTACTAGCTTACAAGGGGTAAAGTCAACAAGTGTTGGTTAAATTTGATAAACATAAAAGTTCCAATTTATTGCCATTGAAGAAGTAAAGTTCAAATTTGCTACCACAACATTTAATTTAAGTTGACAAGTGGTATGATGGATTCTAAATATTGGAAAGTTGATTCAAGTTGGTAAGTTGGTAAGTTGACAAATGGCTATGATGGATATCAAATATTGGAAAGTTGTTTAAAGTTGGCAAGTGACCAACTTGTGCACATGGGAAAATTCATATTTAGTCCCCTAAACTATTAAGTTATTTTTAGGTTTAGTCCAACTCAACTATAAATAGACTTAAGCACTTTCATTTGAAATCATCTCAAAAATTCCCTCTCTCATTCTTCATTCTCTCACTTTGTAATATCATGAGAATTCTAAGGAAATCCATTTATTGTAATATTTTGTTGATAGTAAAGTTATCATCTGTTGTGGTGTTCGAGGAGTAGACGATAATTTCGTTGAATCTCGTAAATTTGATTTGTTCTCTCAATTATTTACTTTGTATGTTCATTATTGGGTTTTCTCCATTGTATTTCAATATTCAATAGTTTCATGGGTTTGTCTGCTGTGCAATTTAGGTAATTTTAATTTTGACATTTTATATCATGTAACCCTCTAGACCCGACCTGTGTGTTATGACCAGATCTAGCTAATCAATGTAAAGTTTTCCAAAACATTTTTCAATAATTTAAAACCATATTACGAATAAACATCTTTAAAAATATAATTAATAGCATTAAATTTTAAATTTTGTAAATTAAAGTCATAAAATTGGGTAAAATAAAATATTACAAAATCAGTATCGAAGCAAACCTAACATCAGTAACAAAAACAATAAGCGTCGTAAAACCAACACTTTCAAAATATATGCACATGTCACCCAAAATAATTGCAAACGAATGTGTCGATCCTCCAAGTGTCAGGTACGAGTCGCCTATCCAAAATATCTGAAAGAGAAAAGTTTGGGGGAATGAGCTAGGGAGCCGAGTGTGTTCCAACAGTGCATAAATAAAACATACAATTAAGTTTTTAAAATCAATTTAGATCACAGTTATTAAAACATCAATAGGTCTTACCCTAGCTGAAGCGTAGGTTCCACCTGGGGGTGCCCTCAGGCCCTCAAGGACTTACCCAATGCACATAGCAGAGGTGTCACCCTAAGAGAATACCTTAGGGTCCATAAAGTCTTACCACTAGGCCCATTGGGCCCAGAAGCCTACCAAAGTGTCACATTAGGTCCATAGGGAATTACCAGTTGATTGGTGCTGAACCTATATAAGGAATTACCAGCTTGGCCGAGCTGAACCTACAGAGACTTCATACAAGATCCTAGAGTATCCCAAAGAAAAACATTTTTCAAACATTAACAAGTGGTAGCAGTAATTCATAGTTTAAACAGATATCAATTCAATAAAACATTAACCAAAGAACAGAAATCAAACAGACATGCTTAAAAACTTCAGTAAACTAGAACTCGAGTTTAAAACAGATAAATCAAACGCAGTCAAATCAGATCAGCTAGTCATATTGCAAATCAGATAAAACAGTCATGTGCACACGATATTTCAAACAGATATTTAAAACAAATATATGACACACAAGGAACACACCTCGTAAAATGAATCAGTCTGTGAGATCTATTGAGCATCAGCTTCACTACACTCCTCAACTGTACGAGAACATATGTTATATCATAATCGGGTTATAATCAGAACAGTATTCTAAATTGAATATTTAATAGGGTTATAGAACTACACGAGTATTCATAGGTTATCGCGGACGAACAGATCAAGAGGAACCGGGACGAACGGTCAGGAGATCCTCAAATACCTTAAATATACGATAACATTAATTAGTACTTGACCCTTCAATTAAATTTGATGCACTGAAATAAATGCTTAATTCACATATGCATGCTTGAGTTTGACAGTCAATTCGAAGGCTTTCGGGTTCGAATTTGACAAAACGAACTTCGGATTTGGACTCAATATGTCGAAAAACATGAAATATGACTTTTCGGAAAATTTGATTTTTGGTCAAAGTCAATGGTCAAATTTAAAGTCAACATGTAGGTCAAAAGTCAACGGGTAGATCAACGACCAGGTAAAAGTCAGTGAGTTGACTCTGTTCGAGATGATTTAGTGAATTGACTCAACTTGACCGGTTCGGGTTGACTCAATTCGGTATGAGTTGACTCAGATCGATTAGGGTTGAGCAGACTCGGTTCAGACCAGGTCGGACTGGTTCGGTCCACTTGGACTGTTCTAGAAGAAACGTGAGCTAGGGGAAAGCACCACGCGCACGCGGCGGCACGTGGTCGCGCGTAACGACGGTGACAAGTCGGTATAAATTGAATTCGGATGTTGCACGAAAGCTTGAGACGGGCATGACAATTTGTTAGTATAAATTGAATTCGGATGGTGCACGAAAGTCTTGAGAGACTCTAATGGTGGTTGGATAACGGGCTTTACGAAGGTCATTGGATGCTGAATTATGGAATGTATTTGTTGATTTTGAGATTGCAAGAGATCTCGTTTTGCGAAATGTCGTTGTTGAAACGGAATACGATCAAGTTGCTTATGTAGGATTAGGTAATGGACCGAGTTTCGCTGATGGTGTCGTATATTATTGGTTTGCTTCGACGCAATCGGAGTCTGAGATTTGTGTATGTGATAAGGTGGCTGATGCATTGGCAAAGATGACATGGGCTCTTCCTTTAGGCCTTCAACGTTTACCATAGTACTAAATTGCGGCTGCAACGTAGCGTAACGCCGTTTTTGAATGTTACCGCGACGCAATATCGGCGCAACGCGATAAGAGAACCGCATCACGATTGTTACGGTAAAAAATCGTTACGTAACACCGCAACACGCTATAAATTGCGCTACAACGCCGTAACAAACTTTAAATTATCTGAAATATAAAATTACATAGATGAATTGTTCTAATTTAATTCTTAAATCTAGATTATAAATATATATCGTTAATAATATCGTAATAGTTATGTTTAAAATTAGTTAAATTTAAATTAATTAAATTATTTTATTTTGATGGTGAACTATAAGATATAAAATTTTTATATTTGTAGTTATGTATTTTTTTTCTAAGTTATGTAAATTGAACATTTTTATGCTACAATATAAAAAAAATTGATATGATTTTAGTAATATTGTTTATATGTTATTTATTAACATTATAATTGTTATTATTCATTATCCAGTATGATAACACTTTTATGGTTTATATTTGTTTTTAATAAATTTTTATCTATAAAATTAAATTTTTATTTTTAAAATAAAATATTAAAAGAGTATATTAATATTAGTATATTAAAAGATAACTGTAAAATGTATAAATATAATATTTTAGATGTATTGTAATTTTTGAGGAAGAGATCACGTCCGTGATAACCGCAACACTAATGTAACATCTGCAGCATTCACAACCGCGACACCACAATCACATCCACAATAAAATTTGCAACCGCAATTTGATGCGATGACGTTTACTAAGCACTGGAAGCTGTGCGACTGTTGCACATAGACGATTGGCCCCTGGTGATTTACCATTGCTGGTTATGCGTTTTTAACTTGAGTTATCCTCCAATTGAAGCAAGGTCGTCAGGGGGTTGGCCCTCAAAGTTGGTATAATTTTTCTTTAGTCCTTTCAAAAATTGAAAAGTTATAATTTAGTACAACGATAAAATTATACTGTATCCCCTAAAAAATTAAAAATTCAATTATAACCCTTCCTAAATACAATTTAGAACTTTGCCCGTGAGTCGATGTCAAATCGAACATGAACAAACATGATTAAGAATAAAGGGATTAAAAACTTTTTAAAGTATGTGAACCAAAAAAAGAAATTCTATTTCAGTGTTTGAAAGGGAGATTGATGCCTTTACAATTGGATGGCCAATAATTATGTTCTTTATTCCCAACATTTACGTGCGTGAATAGGAGGGATACCAGTGCCCTACACTTTTAGAACCATATCTAAAGTGGACAAAAAAATGTTCTATTTTCATGATCTTGATGGATTTTTTGAATATAAATATATATAAATAATTACTTATTTATTTATTTATTTGTTTGTTTTATTATAGATGAGAAAGATATAAGAGTGAACGAACTGTTAATTTGATCGTTTCTAATATTTTTTTTTCCAATTTGATCCATTATTGTATCTGATAATCAAACCAACCAATCTTTGTAGAGATAAACGACTTAAATGAGTCGACTTAATCAAATCAACCAATCCAACAATAAATTTTGAATACGAGTACGAGCATATACCAAGTATAGGTAAGATTAAAAATTATTATTATATTTATTTTTAAATATATTGTAACACCCCTAACTCATATTCGACCCGAATACAAGTCCGAGATGTCACATTGACTTTTCAAACTTTGATTCTTAAAGAAAAATCCCGGGAATTTAAAACTTTCATTAAAACAAAACACTTTAATTTACATAAAAGAGACCACTTAATACAAAATCGATCAGAGCATTCGTAATTAACTACTTATTACATACCAACACTTTATACACAACAAAATACATACTTTGTCAATTACTTCTGATCTGATTTCTTAGTAATGTTGCTGTCCGTGCCATTGCTATTTTGAATCTTCTTATTTTTTGGTACCTACGTGTAAATCACTTACACGCTAAGTCATAGACTTAGTGAGGCAATAAATGAATATGCAACAATATCTTCATGAATATGCATTCTTACCATTTCCTTCATGACATTTTAATATGCATGTATCTATTACACAATAACATATATAATCATATCATGCATGTACAAAACTTACCTTCTTGTACCACTTTCACTTTACTTTGTATTTCAATTGCCCATGTATATTATTGAGAATAGAGGTATGTGAGTACATAGAGGTTGTGCACTAATGCTGTCACCATAGCTCGTATCAATTCTCTCATGGGGCACCTAACCTTATTTCAGTATTCGTCCCGAAGGACTATCATATATGTCCCGTAGGACTACTACATCCCGAAGGACTATTATACCCTCGACTCATGGCATGCCAATTACACCTATAGCTCTCATATCGTATACTATGGGCATTATTCTTATATTTCATATGTTCATGTACTCATGTCATTTCTCTTGTGATCATGTAGTTCATGTCATTTCTCTTGTGATCATGTAGCTCGTGTCATTTCTCTTGTGATCATGTAGCTCATGTCATGTTCTCATATCACATATCATATCACATGTGTATTTGAATCTATTCATATATATACATCATTTATCCAATCACATGAACATATATATGCCATCTGCATGTATTACAATAATTATCATGTATGCATGTTCACAACTATTGTACTATGAAAATCAATATAGGAATTAGACTTATCACAAGTCTTATTCCATTATACTATACATATAGTATGCACTCACCTTAGCTTTGCTTTGATTCGATTCTAATCCTTTGATCGTTCCGGAATAAGCTTATTTTTAATATCTACATAATCACACATGGATCTATATCAGTATTATAGCTAATATACTTTAATGGTTCACTCTTTAGATTAAGATAAATGTCAATTTCCTCTTTTAATGAAGGTATGCATCGATGCACTACTTGTGCATCAGTGCATAAAATGCATTCGATGTTTTATTATTAATGGGATGCATCGATGCATGCCTTATGCATCGATGCACTAATTGCATTCGATCTTTTTATTTTAAAAGAGTGCATCGATGCACTACTTGTGCATCGATACACCTTCAAACACTTTATGGGTTTTAACCTTGATGCATCGATGCACTATGAATATGCATCGATGCACTCTGCCCAGAATCCTCTTTTTGAACCCGAAAATTCATTCATTTTGGATTAAATCTTTCATGTTTAATCCCCTTTTTCATTCTTAACTCTAGTACACATCCTTAAACCAATTTATACTCATTTATTTCATCTTAAACCTTCAAATCCTATCCTTCATATGTAATTCAAGAATTACATCAATAATTCAACATGTTTGAATTCTGCTTTTAACACTTCGTATATCTTAACTAGATTGATGACAAGTCAAATTTAACTTTCAATTCTAGTTATGAACTCTATTCCAAGATTTCATTTAAGAACTTCAAATCTTAAATCTCTCCTAACTCCATCATCCTTTGATGTTAAGATAACTTAAGCTTTCCTTAAGCTTAGTTATCATCTAATAATCAAAACCCAATATTAAATTTAACAAGAAACTCAATAATCAGAAATCTTACCTTTGCTTTGGTTCACACGCACAAGGAAGAAAGAAGAAGAAGAGAACTCTGGAAGCCTTGGGTGTTTTCTCCCCTTCCATCCACGTGTATCCTTATATCTATACTTATCCTTTCTTTAATTATTTTTCCTTGCAATTCCTCTATTGTCCTTCCATTCCTTCTTCCTTTCAATTCCATCATACACAATAATTTACATATAAATCTTTATACTATTCATTCATTTTATTTTAACCGCCAAATTCTGAGACTTTACAATTTAGTCACTAACTCGGTATTGAGGATGTTACATATATACACACAATTACGTATCAAGTTACCTCGGTGGTTAAAGGATGGTTGTTATCTCTTGAAGTCATAGATTCGAGCACCATAAATGAGAGCTGTTCATAATTCAGTTAAAATATAATTAACTGATTGAATTAAAATTTTGATCGGTTAATCGTTTAGTTAATTTTGGGTTCGGTCGGTTAACGATTAATGTTTTTTTCTTTTCAAACTTCGGTTATCAGTTAATTCGTTTCGAAATTGGTTAATTAATTGAATTTACTGAATTAATTAAAATTATTAAATATTTAATATAGTATATATATTATTTAGCTTTAAGGGTGTTTAAACTTTGTCTTTAACTGAATTAACCGACCGAATAAACCATACATATTAAATATTTAATATATAAATTTTGATTAATTTGGTTAACTGACTAAATAACCGAACTTAGTTCAGTTCGATTAACGGTTAAAGAAAAAAATTATGTTAATAAATTTCGGGTAATTCGATTCGGTCGGTTAATTGAATTAACCGATTGAACAACCCTACCAAAAACTGCCAGAATGTTAGAACTTTTATTATCAAATGATTTTGAATCTTTAACAAAAAAAAATATTGTCTTATAATCATCCTAAATTAATAAAAGAATATATACAAACACAAATACCAATTGAACGAATTTAATTAAATAAATATCTTTGTATTAAAATTAAATACTTTTAAATGTTTAATATTTTTTTTATTTAGAAGTAAAATCGAACTTGGATAGTCTTTGCATTTTATAGGAAAAATAACAAACATAAATATCAAATACAAGTATATAAAATAATTAAAAAATCATATCTACAATTTAAATATTCTTTGATTAATTATATATTTTATTTACAGTGTCTACCTTTAATTTTATAGGAAAAATAACAAACATAGATATCAAATACAAGTATATAAAATAATTAAAATATCATATCTAAAATTTAAAATGATTGCCCCTTGTTCCCATATGTAATGGGGTAAGAGGGAGGTAAGATAGTAGGCTGCCCCTAATATTAGGTTGAGAGCAACTTCCGTAAGAGACCTTCAAATTATGAAATGCCCTCCATGAGACTCGATCCCACGACCTCAAGAGTAAAAACCTTGTGCTCTACCAACTGAGCTGGATGGTCATTTCCATATCTAAAATTTAAATCTTCTTTTATTAGTTTCATATTTTATTTACAGTATCTACCTTTAAATTTTATTTATGTTCCTTTTAAATATTTTATATTTTTAATATATATGTTTATATTGTCAAAATATTTTTGAACCCATCGATGTAATGTATTATCTTCTTTCAAACTTGAAGAGAAATGAAATGGACATGAGAGGAGGCCAAGCCCTCCATTATAAAGATTCATTCATACTTTTTCCACAAGAAGCGTGTGCTTCTCCGTGCATATGTGGACCCCTTACCTTTACCTCTAACCTCGCTCTGCACTACTTCGGTCGTCTTCCTCATCTATAAATACAGCCCCATGGAACCATGGCAAATCCATTGCAAGCTACCTCAACAACTACAAGAAAAACCCTATAGTTTTCACGTTCAAAAACTCTCCCACATTCACCATGTCTGACAAGTGCGGGCAACTGCGACTGCTCTGACAGCAGCCAATGCACGTAAGTAATCCATTTGATCCATGACATATGTATCATATTTAGTTTCGTATTAATAATATTATTTGAATACGAATATGATAAGTGTATTACACATGTTGTGTCTGCAGGAAGAAGGGAAACACCATGGTCATTGAGACTGAGAAGAGGTATGATACATAATCCATAACTATGTTACTCGAACTACGGTTAATGGCTCGATATCGATATATGTATACTTATATGCTCTGATTATATGCTATGTTGTTTATTTCCAGCTACATCAACACTGTCGTGATGGATGCTACAGCTGAGAACGATGGCAACTGCAAGTGCGGTGCTAACTGCAGCTGCACCAACTGCACATGCGATCATTAAGCAAATATAGAACAATGGCCATGGTTTAGATCATGGAAAGATCTAAAAGAAAATAATGAATTTGGATTTGAATAACTTGTGTTCTGTTTGTAGTTTGTGTTTCAGGTCTGTCTGCCTGTCTGGTGTGTCCTTATTTACTGTGATGTAGTGTCCATATCCATGGCCATGGCCGTGGCCTTATCTGGCTAATGAAGTATTATTAGTACATCTCTCTCTTTTGATTCTAATAATCATTCTTTGATGAAACTCTAAAATAAAAATACTAAGGGTTAATTCGATTCAGTTCGGTTCAATTAAATTTTTTAATAAGAGATGAACCAAATCACACTTCAATTTTCTAAAATTGAAATCGAAACCGAATGACATAAACACCAAAATTTTCTATTCAATTTGGTTCAGTTTTACAATTTTTAACTGTTCACTCAAAAAAACATAAATTTGAATTCACAAAAAAATAATATTATCAATTTTAGGAGTGCAACTATTTAAGTTTATCTTGTAACAAATCTATAATGAATTTGATTTGAATTATTATTTATTTTTCCTTTTTAATTCAATTTGATTTGAAACAAACGAATTTCATATAGAAAATCCAACTGACTTATAAAATTAGATATTTAAAGCAAACCAAAACCGAACCGCAAAATGAAAAATCTGAACCAAATCGAATCGCATAATATGATTCAGATCGATTTTCTCAACTTCCTTGCTCAGCCCTACCTTCAAGCTTTAAAAGATGGCAGCTTTCTTTATCAATCAAGGGTTAAAAGAATCAGACTAGATATAAAGATTTAAAAAAGACAAGAATTACAAGAATCTGTTCATGTAGGGTTGCTTGCTTTATCAAGTTGTCATTCTTACCACCAAAAGATTTCACAAGTTCAAACAGGCTCACAAGATAGGAAAATACAATGAATTCAACACCAAAAACCAAGAAAATGTATTCCTTTCCCATTATTTCCTAGATTTTATCAAATCATATCTGTGTAAATGGTTTCATCCTATGAACTTTTTGTGTCAATCTCAAACATTGAAGCCTTCTGCACGTAGACATTTACGATGAGCCTCTATCCATTTCGCACAAGCTTCTTCACCATGCTCGACGATGCATTCGTCTCTGAGCTTCTTTGTCTCAGGGCAAGCACAGCAAATTTTCTTCTTTGGCTTTGATTCTGCAGCGGGTGTTGTTTTTGCTGATTCCTGAGTTTGCTGCAAGCCAGACAAAGCCAAGGCAGAACTATTTTGTGTAGGCAATCCACCCATTTTGTCGGTAGTAAGTGATTCTAAGATACTGCAAGAGAAATACAGAGAAGCGAAACCGGTGAACCAAGCAGTGAAAACAGAATCAAAGTTTCAGGAACGAGGAAAATGAAGAAATTTCATTATAAAGCCGAAGGAAATCAACATTGGCCTTAATAACAGGAACGAGGAATCATATCTGTGAATTTGCACCGTATGGTGTACAATTAATCAAATATTGTGAAAAGCAAATGCACATCTAACAAAGTATGCCTATAACTGCCTGGGTTATGTTACTTGAACTTGGAATTTATGTACTCATACTAATGACTATATCATAATAATAATCACCTATCCAAAACAATAGCCAAATCGAAGGTCCATTCGACAAATTACACTTATCTAACGTTTTTGATTCTAATGAAAAGAATTGGGAAGAATCTCCCTAACATATCGAATAAACTTCAGGAAACAAGTAATAACATCACTGAAGGATCAAAACATAAGTTTCGATTCGTTATATATGGTGAAAGAAAAATATAAGAATCTGAAACCAATTCTATGAACCGATGTATCTAACGGCCACTAGGTCTTATAAGAGTCGATCATACAATTCGACCGAACACCAATACTCATAACAAACAAGTCCAGCAATACAAATGAACTTCAGGAAACAAATAATATCACTCAAGGCTCAAAACATAAGTTTCGATTCTTTATATATGGTGAAAGCAAAATATAAGAACCTGAAACCAATTCTATGAACCGATGTATCTAACGACCACTGGGTCATATAAGAGTCAATCATACAACTCAACCTAATACTAATACTAAATCATAAAAGTCCAGCAATGCAAGAGTTCCAAAGCAAATCAAATTCAATTTGATAATTAAAAACTTGGTAATCGAAAGGGCCAGCTCAAATAAACTGGAGAAAATTCTTCTTGCAACCTCAAAATTATTTTTTGAGACTAAATGCAAGCTTTACTCATTGAAATCTAAGAATTTCAAACAGTGATATCTGGTAACAGCAACAGCAATGGTATATCATTTCATCTCTAATTATTCTAAAACAAAAGAGCAACTCAACAATTTAGTCCAAAAACATTGTCAAATTTCATCAAGGAAAAGAAAAGGCAGCCACTATTCAACATAATAAGAAAAACCCAGATGGATGAAAGAAAGAATCAATCACATTTTTACTTGGAAGTGATGAAAATTGAATCTTTATTGCCATAATACAGGTTTTTCCCTCGGAAAAAAAAAACACGTTTTTTCTTTTACTTCTTCGTTTGTTTCCTATGTCGACTTAACCTTTTTCTGCTAGGAATCAAGAAATATACAGAAAACAATAATATCAATACAAAGATAAACAAATAAAGATATAAATTATGGAAGAAAAACTCACGCTGACTTTCAAGCAAAGGAAGATTCAGATCCGGCAACTTGTGTTTGCTGATGGCTTTTCTATAGGTATATGGAAGGTCATCAAGGACAGAAAAGAAAGGAAAATGCTTATTTCCATGAAGGAATTGGACTCGGCCTTTTAAGGTTCGTATAGTATTTAGAAAATGAAGCCCAAGAAGCAACAACATGGGCTGAATTTAACTTTGAATGTATATATAATTTGTTAATATATTTTTATTAATAAGGGGTAAGTTATGTTCAAAGATAATTCTCAATTATTTAACATTGAACGCTTATATCCTTGGCATCTACAGTGCTCAAACTACAACCTCAAGAAATAATAACTATTCTTTTATCACCGAGATCATTTAGTTCGTACAAATTTATTGTGATTGTGATTTTAATAAAATTGATTATAACATGAGAATTTTCTTGTCCACTACAGATTTCTGTTTTCTTCTCATTTTAATTATTAAAATTGTATTATGAATTTTTTAACCGAAACAAAAAAGAATTTAAATCAACATAGATGAAATTAAAAGTTGTTTTAAATCAACAATATATTTTGATTAGTTAAAATAGAACAAAATACGAATATAATGACATTTGGATCTACACTTGTAGAATCCAGCAATAACTTATTAATAATGATGTTGGATTAATAAGATAATTTATATAATTATTAAATAGTTATTCAAAATAAAATAATAAATAATAATTCTCTCACCTAACACTCTTAACGAAAGGCTATCTTTAATGTTTGCACAAATATTTATTTTGTTTCGGATTCTTTTTCTAAAGTATTTTATTTTCGAACATTTTCATTTTTTATTTTTACAACCGACTCTATCAAATGAAAATTGTTAATTGAATCACGATCAACATATGTTATTATCTCCTAAAGTGGTATATAGGAGTGAGCAAAACTCGAGTCCAAAAAATTTCAAGTTCAAATCGAGTTGTAAAATACAATTCGAATAACTCGAAATTTTTAGTAATTAGTAGATTAATTTTCAATTTTAATGAGTCGAGTCCTTCAACTTTGTATGTTATATGTAAATTACATATAAAAAATAATATATATATTGTATATTGTTATAAAATAACTTTTAAATTAAAAGAAAATAATATCATAATATTATAAATATTTATAATTAAATTTAAATAGAAACTAAAAAATTTGACTCGACTCAACTCAAATCTTATAAACTTGACCGACTCGAAAAAATTTCAAGTCAACTCCGAATTATAAAATATGATTCGTCAACTCGAATAACTCGAAATTATTTACTCACTCAACTTGATCGAATGCTCGCCTCTAATGATATATGTTACACCACCAAAAGTGATGATATAACATATGTCACATCACTAAATTGAATATATGATATGCATTATATTAATAATTAAATTCGTGTGAAAATATCATGTGAGTAATATATTTTATCTTTAATCAACAAAAAAATTATATTAAACGAAGACTGTTTAATCAAAAATTAAAATTTAGAAATAAAATATTTCCCAAAACAAAAATAAGAAACAAAATAAATATTTATACAAACGTCGAGAAGAATTTTGTCATTGTACCTAAAAAGAACTCAAAAAAAGTTTAGAAAACCGAACGACCTTCTTCCCTCGCTCTCGTCCAACGACCTTCTCCTCACTTCCTTCTTTATTACCTTAAATATTTGGTAGTTTGAACTATTTCTCACGCTCCACTTCAGCAAGTGAACCCATAAATCATTATATTATATATATTTCTATCTATTTTATAACCTATGTTTCAAGACTTTTGTAACTGTTTCTCATGCCATTATTTTTAAAGTTTGAATTTAGATTGATAAAAAAAATCAAAAAAATTCTCAGACTTATTCTATATTCGAGTTTAGGGTTTAAGGTTATTCTTTTGAACAATTTTGTATTCACAATTTAAAATCAACATGTTTTCCTTAAAAAGTAAAACATATTTTACCGATACATCTAATATTTATTGATAGATTATTAAAAATATGATCACAACGTTAACTCAATTAAAAATATGTAATATAAAATTAAGTCCAAAATAAAGGTATAATAATAATCCAAAATTAAGTCTATAACGAAGACTTGTACATTTAATTATTATAAAAATAAATATTTAATACATTAATAATCATAAATTAAAATCATTTATAAAAACTTTTATTGTCAGAATAATAGTTTTATTATTAAAAAAGTTATTCAATAAAACAAAAACTTCCATTCATAAAGCGCGTGGAATCATCAAATAATCAAGAATGTCTTTTTACACATTGGGTTTCAAAACACTTACACAGTCAAATACAATAAAAAGGAAAATATTAAAATTCATTAATTTCAGCTTTTCCAAACTCAACCAAAAATACCTTTTCTCTTATATGTAAAAAAAGAGAGAAAGAATCTACAAAGTCCAAGAAAAAAAACAGCTTTCTTTTAGATCCATTTCTCCCTCTCTTTCCATTTTTATTTGCAAAGTTTAGATCACTAAAATCTTTCTAGGGTTCTTACTTTTTAGAGTTGTCAATCTTTTTCCTTTGACTGTAATATGTAACAAGCTTTTTGTTAAAGGTACCTGAAAAAAAGGAAGATTTTCCATTTTTGGTGCGGGTTTAAAGCTTTTGGGTAGAGTTTAGAATTTCTGGGGTTTCGAGTAGTTTGACTGGATGAGAGTGGAGGGAAATTTGAGTCTATAAAGGACTGTCATTTTCAAGGGTGTTATTGAACTTGCATTAGTTTGTTCATTTCAGAAGCTTGTTTTGGAAGTGTTACTTTTCCTTAATTTTTTGAAGGTTTTAGTTTTGTTGATTTTCCTAGGGAAAAAGCACTCTTTTCGTATGTTAATTTTACTGAAGAAATGAGGGGTTTGATTAGATTGGCAATTTGCATTCAATGTTGGGTTTATACTTTGTAGTAAACTTTGCAACTTTGTTGCTTCTATTAGAAAAAATGGGTTCTTGGTTTCGTTCAATGCTGGTGAAGGAAAGGGATTTTTTTTTTATTAAAATAGAATTTGGGCAATCGGATTTTAGTTATAACTAAGCTTTTAAGATTTTTGAGTATGATGGAATGGATGAGATGATTTTGAAGGGAAAAAACATAATTCTTGAAGGAATGAAGGGTAGTTAGTGACTGGAAGAAGCTTTTGTTGAGGTGTGATTTTGGTGTATGATGGGTTGCATTTGTTGCAAACCTTCTGCCATTGAAGATAGTAAGGCGTGTCCTAGAGAGAGGCCTTCGAGTAAAGCCTCATCAGATGTTAGGGTACCAGGAGCTACTTCTTCTAGGAGGGAGGAAGCCTATAAAGCCAAGGATAGACATGATAATGCAATGTCGATCGATAAGCAAGTGAGTGATTCGGTTCGATTACACGGCGAGAATTTGGATAGGAAAAGGGAGAAGATGGAGTATGTTGTTGTTCAACATCCAGGGATAGGTAGCGTTCCCAAAGCTACACAAGGAGAGCAGGTGGCAGCAGGGTGGCCTGCTTGGTTAGTTGCAGTAGCTGGGGAGGCAATCCGGGGGTGGCTACCGCGGCGTGCAGACTCATTCGAGAAGCTGGATAAAGTAATTATGCTTTAACTAAAAAGTGCTTCCTTTTGTATCCTCCTGTTGCAAATATCATGAATAATTTGTTTTTGACTTAACAATTGATTTTTAAATCATTCACTGCAAGTCTCTGTATCAACTGTTGAGATTCACTTTTGTGCTATTAAGTTTGGAGATCATAGTTACTTGGAATCCATTTTGACATCTATCAATGATTGTAAAATATGGTGTAATTAGGGGTGTAAACGAGCCGAGTCGAGCTCGAGTAGTGCTGAGCTCGACTCGACTCGAAAACTCTTAAATTAATCTCGACTCGACTCAAAAACTCGCGAGCTTAAAATTTTCAAGCTCGACTCGAACTCGAAATCTTGAACTGAAGCTCGTGAGTAGCTCGAAAAGGCTCGAAATGAAGAAAAAAAATTCTTAAACTTAACTCGATTAAAGCCTCAAATTCAAACTCGAACCTGAACCTTAAATACATGAAAATCTTACTGTATTTTTTAAAAAATCAATACATAAATGTTAATATTATTAATAATTTATTTTTTAAAAAAAATAAAATCTTAATATATTATGTTTTCGAGCTTCTCACGAGTTTTTCGAGTCGAATATCAAGTAGCTCGTTTCGACTTGTTAAGAACTTGAGTCGAGCTCGAGCTCGAGTCGAGTTCGAGCTCGAGTCGAGTCCATTCGATCCGAGTATTTATCGAGCCTTGATCGAGTCGATCTCGAGTATCTCACGATCTGTCTCGTCTCATTTACAGCCCTAGGTGTAATTCATAAATTCTTATACGGCTAGCAAATCGATATTTTCACATTATAAAGATATCTTTGTTCTAAGGTGTGACAATGCCTTACTTGGAGCTCTGTATTTGAATCGCTGTTCTTAAACACAAAGTTATCCCCCACTTTGTTGGGCATTTCTGCTTGGTTTGATCATAATTTCTTGTGACTTATAATCACATCTGTTACCTGAACTTGTTTTTACTATGCAGATTGGCCAGGGAACTTATAGTAATGTTTATAGGGCTCGAGATTTAGATCAGAAAAAAGTTGTTGCCCTGAAGAAAGTAAGATTTGATAACCTTGAGCCTGAGAGTGTTCGATTTATGGCAAGGGAAATTCACATTTTACGTAGACTTGATCATCAGAATGTTATAAAGCTGGAAGGTCTGGTTACCTCAAGGATGTCGTGCAGCCTGTATCTTGTTTTTGAGTACATGGAACATGACTTGGCTGGTCTTGCTTCACACCCTGGTCTGAAATTTTCGGAATCACAGGTACTTCAGATTGTTTTGCTTTATTATATTTTCTTAGCTGCAATTTGATTTCTTTCCAAAGTTTACTTGTTAGTAGTACTATGTAGTAACTATGGTCCTGAATGAAGTTTTCCATAAGAGGTCTTCCAAACATGGGGATAACATGATTTTGCATTTCTTAATAAAAAATGCAGTCGTATTGAGTAGAAATGTCCTGCTAATTGAGAAATTTATGATTTCCATTGAAGGGCTATCTGACTTTCAATTCATTGACCTATTGGGCAGGTGAAGTGTTACGTACAGCAACTTTTGTGTGGCCTTGATCATTGTCATAGTCGCGGTGTCCTTCATCGTGACATAAAGGGTTCCAACCTTCTAATTGACAATAATGGAATCTTGAAGATTGCAGACTTTGGTCTGGCTAGCTTTTATGATCCTCATCAAAGTCAGCCCTTGACAAGCCGTGTCGTAACCCTTTGGTATAGACCACCAGAGCTTTTACTTGGAGCCACTAACTATGGTACAGCTGTGGATTTATGGAGTACAGGTTGCGTACTTGCCGAGTTATATGCCGGCAAGCCTATTATGCCCGGAAGAACTGAGGTGTGTTTTTATCATTTACATGAAATATTTCCTACAAAGTATTTAGAATATAAGAGTTTTGAGCCAAAGCTTTAAACATATTTGTGCAAATAAATTTGAGTAGTGACGCGTCTATGCATATAATTCGACTGCAAGCCCTTAAAATACATGTTGCAAAAATTCAATGATTTTGAGGTCTGTGCCTTTCTGTTTTGTAGGTGGAGCAGTTGCATAAAATTTTCAAACTTTGTGGCTCGCCTTCTGAAGACTATTGGAGAAAATCAAAGTTGCCTCATGCAACCATTTTTAAGCCCCAACGGCCCTATAGACGCTGTGTTGCTGAAACATTTAAGGAATTTCCTGTACCAGCTTTAGCACTCATGGAGACCTTACTTTCTATTGACCCTGCTGATCGAGGATCTGCAGCTTCTTCTCTTGAGAGTGAGGTACATTTTTTTTTATAGAAATTATGTGTTGTTAAAGTTATGATTCTGTTCCGAGTTTAAATATAAAGAATGCCAGAACTCTTGGCTTGTCTGAACGCCTGGGTCTTAGTCTATTCCCTGGTGTCTTGAGATGCAAGAACAGCATTACCATCTCATCTAAGCCATGATTACTTTTGAAAATCTTAATCCGGAAAACTTTCTTTAGATTAGCGCTGGCAATTGTTTTATTCCGAATGGTAGGATGTACATCTTTTAGTCCAAAATCGCATTGTTGTATATTTCCGGTCATAATGATTTATATCAGTATTGTCTTGTATCCTTGACTTGTTCTTATTTGGGTTTATCAGTTCTTTACATCAGAATCTCTTCCCTGTGATCCTTCAAGCTTGCCAAAATATCCTCCAAGCAAAGAGTTAGATGCAAAAATAAGGGATGACGAAGCTAGAAGGTGCATATTATATATTTAATTACAAATACCGTACTTGCGAAGATTTACTTCCAGAGAAAATCGAGTGCTTCAAAAGGATCATCCAAAAACTTTTAACTGCATATTGGTTCAGCAATTAAATAATTTGATTTCTTTGATCTTCAGCCTGTTCTGAACTGTTGTGTTCATACTGCTGTTGTAAGTGCTAATAAGCTTTTGTTTTGTATTGTAAGACACGGAGCATCAGGAACGAAAGGCCCGAGGCCTGATCTTGAAAGAAAAGCAACAAAAGTGTCTCGAGCTGTTCCAGCACCTGATGCGAATGCTGAACTAGTCTTGTCAATGCAGGTAACTTGTGATTTGGTTAATTATTTCCCATTCCCTTCTTTTTGTTCAAAATGTTTGGTGATGGGCATTCTTAACCAGTTTATACATCATGATATTAGTTTGTTCACCTATGTCACAACTCATGAAATCTTTAAGCTCAACGACCTCGGAAAACAGCAAATTAAGCCATTTCCGCTATTTAGAGTTAGTTTTTAAGCATATTAATGGTATTATCCCTAAGCTTTTAGTTATAAGCTAATAGTTTCATTTAGCTTCTCACTCATTCTTTATTTTAATCATTTTTTCGTCTTTTAGAACAATTACTTAAATTCGGCATTTCTGACATTGTTTTGTCATTCCAGAAAAGACAAGGTCAATCCAATTCAAAGAGCCGGAGTGAGAAGTTTAATCCTCATACCGAGGAAGTCGCCTCAGGCTTTCTTATTGATCCGCCTGGGGCGTCACAAGCGATAGAATCAAATGCAGACGCAAAGGGGAATCATCACAAGAGAGCTTCTCATTCAGGGCCTCTGGCTCACCGTGCTGCTTGGGCAAAATCTGGGGAAAACCTGGATCATGCTCCCAAAATTTCTACCAGGGCCGACTTGTCAATGATGTCAGGTTTAGCGGCGCCAAGGAGTAGTCTGACATCTGATGATTCCAGAGTAAAATCTGGTTTTCCACAATCAAAAGTTCCAAAAATGATTGCGAGATTTCCAGGGTCCTTTAAAGAGTCCTCTGAATCCAGCACCGAACAGGATCCGAAACTCAATGAGCTGCAGAAAGATGGAAGAAATAACAACAAAGATTCAGTTTTGGTAAGTACTGGTAGTGAAACTCTTTCTTCCGCCATAACGATTGATTCAATTGTCAAACTATGTGCAAAAGAATACGAGCCTTGATTTGTGATAATTCTCATAGACTCTTCTATTTCGTGTTCTTGGAATTTTCAGTTCAATATCCTTGTCTGTTTTTGGTTCCTTGCTAGTCAATAACTTTGATCCATTTCAAGCGTCTGATACATGCATCTCAACGATTTTTGTTTCCAGCTTGGCTACGGTTCAAAAGGCCACATAATTCACTATTCCGGACCATTATTAGTCCCGTCAGGCAACATGGACCAGATGCTTAAGGATCACGATCGCCAAATCCAAGAAGCTGTTCGGCGAGCACGACTTGACAAGACAAAGGTGGGAAGAAATCAGTTAGAAGGGAACCAAATGTCAACCAAATCGTTATTCGTCTCCGGTCGTTGAGCTGAATTTTGCTAACAGAAAACCAAGACGAGCATTGTCAAGATGATTCTCGCCGAACAATTCGGTTGCGGGTTCTAGTGAGAAATACAATCCATGCTGTTGGGTGAGTTTCTTGTATAGGTTGATATTCTTAGGAAGATGGCTTATATGGTTGATTGAGAAAATATTCCTATGTGATTAATCATGTGTATTCCTTTCCACCCAGCAACTGTAATTTGCCAAGACATGGCCATTCTTGTAGAGTTTATGTTTAGTCGTCACGTCATCATTCATATATGAACTATTGTATCAAAATCGTGGATCGACCTGTTAACATCTTAACGTTTAACGATAATTTTATTACTCAAGTGATCACTTTAATTAGTTTTCTGAATTTAAAAATTTAATTGAATACGAAAAAATGGGGATCGAAATATTTTTTTAAAGAGACTCGTTAAGCTAAAACAAAATTATTCACCTGCCTAATTAACTTGACCAGTATCATCAGAAAAGTGACCTGGTTTATATTAAAATAATTGTTGGGATTGGGAATTAATATTGAGAAAGATCCATTAGTTAGGGTTGGCAATGAAATTTATTGAAAACCGTGAACAAATCTTTATTAAACTGTTATAGGATCAATTAAACCCTAAACAATAGCATGCTAGGGTGACTACTATTGCAACTAAAAGTTTAAACATAAGAGAAATTCTCTCGTTTCTGAATTATTTAATCTGAATTAGTTGAGTAATAAATCAACGAAAATTGATTATACTAAAAAGTAAGAGACTGCATTCACCCAAATTTAAAATATAATTTTTTGCAAACATGGATAGAACTCAAGGTGTCGGAGGCGGTTGCATGTTTACATATAATATAAGTATTTTTTATAATTTCTTTTAATGATGTAATTTTATATTTTTTAAATTTGTGGAAAAATACCGATACTTACTCGCATACATTTTATAAAAAGTTTTGAAACTTTTTAACCGGTTTTGTCTCGTTTTTTTATCGGTTACCTTAGTAAAATAATAACAGTTATTTATAAGAAAGTAGGAGAAATTGAAGTATTGATATTTTGCGTAAGTATCAATATTTGTGGAAAAATATCGATACTTTGTAACCTTCTCATTTTTCATGTCTTTTTAAATTTGAAAATATCGATATTTGTGAAAAAATATCGATACTTATTCACATACATTTTATATAAAAAGTTTCAATATTTTTTACCGGTTTCGCCTCCTTTTGTTTTTTATCGGTTACCTTAGAAAAAAATAACGATTATTTATAAGGAAGTTGAAGAAATTGAAGTATCGATATTTTGCGTAAGTATCGATACTTGTGAAAAAATATTAATACTTTGCAGCCTTCTTATTTTTCATTTTTTTAAATTTAAAAGTATTGATATTTGTGGAAAAGTATCGATACTTATTTGCATACGTTTTATATAAAAAATTTCTATACTTTTTTACTGGTTTTACCTCGTTTTATTTTTTATTAGTTACCTTAGTAAAACAATAACAATTACTTATAAGGAAGTAGGAGAAATCGAAGTATCGATATTTTTCGTAAGTATCAATATTTTTAAAAAATTATTTTTTTATGAAAATTTTCAAATAAACAAGTAACGATATTTTAATTTTCACCAACTCTCTCAAATGTTAAAGTATCAAACATAATAGAAAAAATATCAATATTTTACAATTCATCAAATGCTAAAGTATTGACCATCAGATCATAGTATTGATATTTATTTAGAAAAATTTCTCTTCAAATGATACAATTACATATTAAAACGCAACAGGATATATTGTAGATATTCATAACATTATAAGTAATTAACTTATTTTGTTATCGTGAGATTTTTAAGGCCTCGTCAATTTAAACTTTAGTAATATTTTAGGCACAATCTAATATGTTAATAATATTTATAACAAAAATAAGTAGTTAACTTATTTTGTTATCGTGAGGTTTCTAAGGTCCCATTAACCCAAACTTTGATAACATTTTAGACGCAACCTAATATGTTAACAATATTTAAAACAAAATAAGTAATTGACCTATTTTGCTATCGTAGGATTTCTAAGACCATATAAGCTTAAATTTTGTTAATATTTTAGGCGCAACATAATAAGTTAATAATATTTATAACAAAATAAGTAATTAACCTATTTTGTTATCGTAGGATTTATAAGGCTTCATCAGCTTAAACTCCCATAATATATTATGCACAACATGTTATGTTATTACGATTGATAACGTTTCGAGTAATTAACCTAAATTACTAAAATCAATATTTTTTTTACCCATCTTACATGCAACGATAACATTTCTGGTTATTATCATTATTATTATCAACACAAATAATATTTCCGGTAAAAACTTATAACATTTTCAGTAACGTTTTTAATCGATCACGCCGTTTGTTAACCGTATTTTAATCACCTTACAGTAAACCTCCCGAAATTTATTGAAAACTGTGAACAAATCTTTATTAAACTGTTATAGGATCAACTAACCCTAGGGTGACTACTATTACAATTAAAAGTTTAAACGTAAGAGAAATGCTCGTCTTAGAACTATCTGATCTGAACTAGTTGATTAATAAATAAGATATAAATTATTATACTAAAAGTAAGATAATGCATTTACCCAAATTTAAAATATAATTTATTGCAAACATGGATAGAACTAGAGATGTCGGAGGTGATCGCACGTTTAAAAAATTATAAATTTTTATATAATTTAAATATTTTATCTGATAATTTCTTTAAATAATATAATTTTATACTCTTAGTTTTCTAGTATACTTCTTAAAGATTCACACTTTCTCACAACACTATGCGTTTTTCATTAACTATAAACCACAAGATTTATATTTTAAAGCATATTTTAATAGTAAATGTATTCGTTTAAAAAAAACATATTTTCTTTTTCCTAATCAAATAAGAAAATGTATATTTCATGTAATTAGGTAAAGATATTTTCTTTTTCCTAATCATATACATTTCATGTAACCAATGAGTAAGAAATTATACATGATAAAGAAAAGCTTACTCAAATCGGAGGACTTTTAGTGCTTCAAGTTTCATATTAGTTCACAAAATGAAACCCAAAAGAGAAAAAATACACAAAAAACCCTCAAATTTTGTGGCCCAAATTCATTTGGTCATCAAATACATTTAGAAATATTTCATTTACTATCAATAAAAAATTAAATTTTATAAATAAAATTAGTCCAATGACACCAATCATGAATTGAGGCATTAAATGCTGGGACCATCTCTTCATGACAAATTAATTTAATTTAGTAGTATTTTCCTTAAAATGTTAATATTAAAAAAATTTAAAAAAATTATTTAATTTTTTTGAACAAATTGGGTTCCACTTGTCTACTATCATAAATGATTATTTAGCTATTTTGGTATAGGCTGTTTATGACCATGTATTAATATGTAAACAATATTAATAGACAACACTTCATTATTTATTATGATTATTTGTTATTGTTACTTGTTTTGAGTAAAATGGTTTTGTTAAAAAAGATTTTTGGGGACCCTAATGCTAAACTTAAAATTTGAGATGATAAAATTGATTAATCAAAGCATCTGTAAGGGTTAACAGATAATTTATGTTTACCTTTGGTGTTAAATTTTAACTCTCACTGTGCTAACACTGTTCTAAATTTGACTCAACCAAGTCAGATGATTATTCTCATTTATAAAATCAACATGATTTTTTAATAAAATGGCCAAAAGGGTATCTTGAAATTCCAACTTTAATTATATATATAGGAGTCTTAGGTTTACAGGTTTGTCTTCACTAACTTTCGACTCGTATTATTTATTTTATCTCTTATGGTTTTCATCACTGTGTTAGAATCAAAGCTTAATTCTTTAATATGGGTAAGGTTACATCACTTAATGTTTTTCTTTTAAGTTTGTAAATAAAAAAAATGAAACTTTGGGTGAATTTGTCTGGTCTCAATGATCTAAAAGTTATCTTCTTCGGGAAACCAAGATAACCAAGATTCTCTTTTTCAACACAAAAGATGGTGATTTTTTTAATAGAAAAGGGGGTAATTCAGAGTCCGGGAGCAGTTTCCTTGTAAGTTTTTTTTAATTGCAATTGGACCCACAAGATATTCAAATTTTACTTTCTTGGCCTGTTGCATGAGGGGGGTCAAAAATGGCTTTGAGGTCATGGTAATGCCACGTACTCTATTTGGAATAAAGCTAGAAGAAGATAATAAGTGCTCAAAAGAGTGGTCTATGTTTCAAAAAGGAAACAGTAACTAAAGTTAATAGAAGAAGAAAATTTGTTTTCTTTTTTATTTATTTAATGTTGATATCCGAATTCCCTGTGCTGTATTTTATTTATTTTCTTCTCATGAAAAACTTGTGGGAATTTCGTGAGGTTGAGAATATTTAGTGTGAACTAAAAGACCCTTTTTCTTTGTGGTTCATTTTACAGGTTAATCTACCAAGAACAGTAGAAGATCCTTTCATGGTGTTAACTGGTACCCCTCCTCTCTCTCTTTATGAAATATATACTAAAATATATATAGATGTTGGTTGTTTTTGCTTGTTTTTTGATGTGATATATAGTTGGTCATATGCTTAATAGTGGGTATTTAGTGTTTTTAGCTATTGGTTGAGATTTTGTTTTTCTCTTCTTTTCCTTATTGGCTGTGTTAATGGTGGTGGCGGTGGTGGGGGTTGTCATAGCTTTGTATAATGAGAATTTTGGTGTCTAAAGGTTTCTGATTTTGGTTCCTTGTGTTTGCAGTGAATTGACTGGAAAAACTGGGTTTCTTTTCCTTTTGTGACAATGAAATGAGTTTATGATTTCAATATGATAATGGTAGAAGTGAGCGATTCGATAAGAAGCCGGCTATTTTCTTCGTTTTTTGGATGTTTGAGTGGTGGTCTTCATGCAATTCTTGGAGGATAACAATGGAGGGTTCGTCTGAGTCTGTTTGGAAGGAGTCTGATAGTTCTAGGGCACTGAACACTTCTGGTGTCTCAGATAGGGATCCTAGTCTGTTTCGTGTTGAAAGAACAGGTGTTTCTGGAGACGCTTACCGTGATTTCGGGTTCACGGAAGAAGATGGTAGGGATTTGCTGACTCACAATGATCACCTTAGAAGACAGATTGGTGTTTCTGGGGTGTGCGAGACGGCAGTAAACCCTTTCATCCGTTCCATTGAATTGGGTGATGTTAGCTTGAGGCAATGGTT